GCCCCAACTCATAGAACAAAGAAATCGAAAAATATTAAGGAAAACATTAGCTACATATATAGATTTTTCAATTTTTGAGAATCACCTTTCTTGTTCCCTACATGAATCGATTGAGAACCTTTATCAATAATCTACAATACATAAAACGAAGCAATGATAATGACAATCGTTATTATCAGTTTCATCCAGTGCATGAACAATCGGATTTGATCTAGTATTTACTTTGGTTTACATTGTCGCAAATACATAAACTTCTTATAGAAATTTTCAATGTAAATGAATTCTTCTATTTGTCTTCCTAGAAATTCATATCTGGAACGTATACATATTCTAGGTTGTTTTTGAAATCATATTAATAAAGTTTTCGTATCTTAGCCAATGAATCATTTTTAATTGAATTAGATCAAACATATTAAGAGCACCAGTAATGTTTTACCACGAAAAGAAAAGGGTCGACAAAGTGATATTTCTGATATAATACCCTTTATTGAACATCAAGATTTATTACAAACTCAGGTTTTTCCAAGGGGGAAAAAGCGAGACTCACTCTACTTCAAAAAAAAATTGGAGTACAGCTGGAGTACGGGTGGAGTACAGTTGGAGTACAGCTGGAGTACGGGTGAAGTACAGTTGGAGTACAGCTGGAGTACAGTTGGAGTACAGTTGGAGTACAGTTGGAGTACAGCTGGAGTACAGTTGGAGTACAGTTGGAGTACAGCTGGAGTACAGTTGGAGTACAGTTGGAGTACAGTTGGAGTATAGCTGGAATCTACCCAAACTACAGCTGCAGCACAGTTTGTGTACAATTATACTATAGTGGAAGTAGAGCTTGCACTTTAACTTTAAACTTAAATAAAAGTTAAAGAAGTGCACTTTAAACTTTAACTTTTAAAATGAAAGTGACCATGCTTTACACTAACTCTAATTTTTTTAAAGTTAAACTATACGTTTTCCTATGAAATAAAACTTTTTTTAGAAATTTATAAAACTAAATAAACATTTATAAAAGTACCTACAACTCTCCATCGGTAGCATATTGGAGCTATCTATAGGTGATACTATGTAAAGAGCATATTCATAGGTCATTCACTACGATTTAGCGATGCTATCCATAAGTTATCAGTTGTTATATAAGAGGGGCAGTTTTAAATAGCTCGAGGACTAATATATAACTCGTTACTTATCGACTATCTGCTACCATATAATTGGAATATCGATAAACTTTCAATGCTGATAGAAAGTGCGTATTCATTAACATTCGTGACGCTTGTTGTCGAGATGCCCAAAATTGGTCGTATACTATCTAATTCTGGTACTAGTTTCTGTCTATCAGCTATTAAAGTGAGTTTCTGGTAGTTCATNTTTGAGAATTCAAAAGCATGATTTAGTTTGCTGGTTATACCTTCGGCGACGACAAATCGTATAACGCTGGGATATATTGCCAAATGTGCAGAATACTTTTCTCTCTAGTTTAAGACGTCTTGCGGCTCTATACGTGCTTGGGTCTGATATTTATCAAGAAAACAAAATGAGAGAAACATGTTTTCGAATTTCACTCCGGTAGCAGAGTTAGCTGGTCACGCTCTATACCTATTCCTAACCCCTTATATCTATCTATTTGCAACCCCTATATGTATGACTAATTCCTTACAACTGTCTATTTCTACCTCCTATTCCTAATCCCCTTGTGTCTATATGTTTTTAACGCCTATATCTGTGGCTAGCGTCTTATAAGTGTTTTTTTTGTAACTCATTATACCTATCTCTAACCACTGATATCTATCTGTTTGTAATTCTTCATACTACTTTAACCCACGTTATATCTACCTGTTTCTAAATTTCTTTCCCGCAACCTCTATATCTAACCTGTCAATAGATATGCCTAATCCCCTATACTTGTATATCTATGAGCTTTTGTCTCTGTATTCCTTATATTTACATTTATACTCGTTTGTCGAAACATATGCTCGTATGTCTACTGCTAACCCGTATGTTTGTCTCTGCTATCTGCGTTAAAATGAAAATGAACAAATGTCGCATTCTTTTCAACTAGGATGAAAACGAACGTTAGAAAGAGACACGAAAATAAATATTTTAAGGATATAAATCCAGATAGGACATTCATCATATGATACTAATGGAGGTCAGCAATTTGCGATGTCAATGTTTTCAACTAATAGGCATTGAAAAGTTATAACAAAACCCAGAGATACATTGATTCTTGAAAACGAAATATAGAAAACTATTGATCTAGCAGATAGTATGTTTTTTTTTATAAGATGTTAAAATTTTAAAGGTTCAGCGAGGAAATTTTGATTATCGCATAAGTGAAGCGTTCTCTATTGTCTGCAGAAGGAGCTTTATGTAGAAAAGTAGCTGGTTAATGTATAGTAAAGTTCCAGAAAAAACTCCAAGGATTCGTTCGACGTCTTTTTTTGCGGTGTAATGAATGTATCCATCCAGCAAGTACGGCTTGTCAGCATGAGTATTCAGATTGCTGGCGCAACTGCTAAAGAGATGTTGTGTGAATCGATACTTTCCGATTACTTTAACGAGTACTCATATGTATTTTTCTTTGCAGATTTACACACTAGCGAAAGCATGAGTACTCAATGTGGCACTGATGCTCATTTCTTCGAAGAATATTTAGCAAAACATTTATCCGTTAGAATGTAAAAAGGTAGACTAGAGTTATAAACTAAAAAAAACAATGATTTACTCAAATCAAACGTAGAGAAAATGCGCTTGACTGACTTGAATGACTTATCTATTTTTCTTCTATTCTTTTCTGGTGGGTTATCCATAGTATTTTAATTATATCGACTTTAAGAAAAGAAAAAACGACCTTTCATTTTCAGTAATTTTTTTCGTGTACGGTAAAGTTGAATATTTGTTTAAACGTATAAATGAAAACTTGTTCTAATTTCATTTCTGAAATTTAGATAAAACTTCCTTCTACACTCAATTGCAGTTTCCAGTTTAAGTGTGAAAAGCAATGAAACAAATGTTGACTAAGAAGTTTTGTAACAAATCGATTGCGATTTTTAATTATGAAGACACATGCATTTTATTATCGAAGAATAATTAAACTTTTTTTCCTCATTTTTTTTTTGTAAAATACTGCATTAAAGTAGTCGTTAGTCCAAAACTACATGGGAGTAGCTAGTCAGCCTGATATCACAATTCCTTTCTTGTACATGCAGTTTCTATAATATATCGGAAAAATACGATTTCTTTTGCCGGTTATAGTCCTCGTATAATGCTGATGATCTGTCAGGGATAAGGAGGTCTATAACTTGTTGAAACCAAAATAATCAAGTCTTCACAAAATATATTCGTAAATAAAAAAAGGTTTTTTGAAGACACTTGATTATTTTGATTTCCAACAAGTTATAGACTTCCTTATCCCTGACAGATCATCAGCATTATACGAGGACTGCAACCGGTAAAACAAAATCATATTTTTCTCATATATTATAGAAGCTTCACGTACAAAAAAAGAATTGGAGTATCAGGCTGACTGGTCTCTCCCATATAATTTTTTCTGTAATAATCACAACTGCGTTTTTTCATCATCGCACTTCTTCATTCCGCTGAATAATTTATTATTCATTCCTCTTCATTTGTATTCTACTTCTCTCATAACGTGTTTTAATTTATCTACTCATATGGACAACGATAAAAAAATTTACACCTTTAGAAAATAAAGAACCTAATCGATTGTGGTGGAATATAATCAGTATTAGTTGATTTCAGACGATTCTTCATCTAATGATTATAACTGATTCTAAAACCTAATTGATTATGGTAGATTATAATCGGCATCAGTTGATTTTAGTCGATTCTTATGTTAATAATTGTAATCGATTTGAAAACTTAATCGATTTTTTTAGATTACAATCAGCACCGGATGATTTTAGACGATTGTTACTTTAATGATTATAATCGATTTGAAAACTTGATCAATTTTGTTAGACTATAATCAGTTTCTTTGGATTTTAGATGATTCTAAGATTCAAGATTAGAATCGATTCGAATGCTTAATCGATTTTAGTAGATTATAATCCTTGATAGTTTGTTTTAGACGATCAAAAAATCATCAAATACTGATTAAAATTGATTATCCCTAAAAATTGATTCTAATTGATTAATAAAAAATCGTAGCAAACCGATTATAGCTGCTTATAATCGATTTTATTCGATTCCAATGAAAAAAATTGATGATAATCGATGAATAANTCGGTTTGGTTCGGTAGAGTTTTCAAAAAGTCTTTTCGGGTTCGATTGAGTTTTCAAAAAGTCGGTTCGGGTTCGGTTCGGTTCGACTCGAACCGAACCGAACCGAACTAGTTCGACTCAGTTCGGTTCGTTTTCGGTCTCTGATATCTATATACTGATCATTTGTATATTGTTTTTTTACTGACGATTTCATCCATTTCGACTGACCACTTAAATCAAACCCAAATAAAATGAATGAGTATGCAAACAAAGAAAGAATAGATAGATCGTGACAAGTTGAACAAAAGTTGTCATAGACTCAAAATTCTCGAATTCAGCCCTCTATGAGATATCAGGATCACAATGGTGGAAAATGATCGCCTCTGTTTCTCCAAACTACAAAAATTTTTCTACAGACACTAGACACTGTTTAAGATAAGGGTTCTTTTATTTTTTGATCTTCGAATAAAAAAGCCAAAATATCGAAGGTATCCTAAAAAGCACATTTTTTTGTCAGCTGTACCAAAAATCAGGAGAATAATATTTTTTTAAACAAAAAAATTTGAGCTTGATCAGACTTACAAGACCGGAGAGATAGGGGTGTTTTGACATTTTTTGGATACTCAGTATATAGATACTATTTCAGACGATGCAATAACCTTAAAAAAAGCAAAAATCTTGTGTCACGAAAGGAGAACATAACCTTAAATGAGTTCTTATCGAATTTTCTTAAAAAAGTCATTCTGTCTAACAATAATCTAATTTCTATCGAAACCTGTAATTTATAAAATACATTTTATATAACATACTGTATCAATATCAAGTCTTTCGTTATTCCAAGTAAATTCAACAAAATGAATATTAGCAGATACTAATAAAGATGACTCAAATGCTGATTGTCGAATTTGATTTCCATTGATAAAATACAATCGATGTTCTTTTAATTCTAAATATTACAAAAAAAAAAAAAAAAAAAGATCTGAATATTATAAATAAAATATTCAAATTTAAATGTACCAAATAATTGTTCAACAGAAACTGAATCAAGATACAAATTAAGTTGAGCATCAATTAAATTAATTAATAATACAATTAGTAAGATATTCATTTTGTTCAAAAATTATTCTAACGCATACTACAATAAACCGTATGGAACAATATTTTCTTTTCTTATTGGTTTACTAGAATAGAGAGCGCTGCAAATATTTTCGAATCGGATTGGTTAAATATTCGACTAAACAAAGGCCATCATCTCGATAAATGGAATGGATGAAAGGATAGATGCATGAAATACAAAATAAATAATTATTATATTTATGAAATCTCAGCGATTTTATATCATGTGTCATAAAATCAATATTATCATAATATTAGTTACAGTGTTTTGAGTTTTTACTCACCTTTTTTTCAGATGTTTATAATTACAAAGTAAAAAATTTTTATTCAATAGACAAATTTTGAAATTCTTAATATAATGGGTGTACCAAAATTTTATCGTTGGATATCAGAAAGATATCCAAATATAAGCCGAGTGATTAATGATAATCAGGTATCTATCTATATAAATTTATTTCTATGAAATATTTATTATGGTTCTTTTTGTTTTTTTGAAAAGATACCTGATTTTGATAATTTTTATTTGGATATGAATGGAATAATTCATGCATGTTCACATATAAATGAAGATAATTGTGAAACAAATGTAACAGAAGAAGAAATTTTTCGAAATATTTTTCATTATATTGATGTAAGTTTTTATTTTGATTAAAAACAAAAAAAAACGATATATATTTTTTTGAAATTTAAAGTTTTTATTTCGAATGATAAAACCAAAAAAAGTATTTTTTATGGCTGTTGATGGTGTTGCACCACGAGCAAAAATGAATCAACAACGTGCAAGACGTTTTCGTGCTGGTAAAGAACGAATGAAAAAATTAGAATCAATTGCAAAAGAATCTGGTCAAACATTAGAAGAAACAGTTACTAAACATTTTGATACAAATTCTATTACACCTGGTATATTATCATATAAAACGTCTCTGCTTTTCATTTTCTTATATTTCTCTTTATTCATATTAAGGTACACCATTCATGGCTCAACTTGATATGCAATTAAAATATTTTATACATATAAAACTTACTACAGATCCATTATGGGAAAATGTAGATGTTCATCTATCTGGTCATTTGGTAGGCATTTTTCAATAGATTTGAATTTTCATTTATTGTTTTTTGAATTAGACACCGGGTGAAGGTGAACATAAAATTATGGAATATATTCGATATACACGTTCACAACCAGGATATGATATCAATACAAGACATTGTTTATATGGACTTGATGCAGATTTGGTGAGACAATATTCTTTGTTTTTTTTCTACATTAGATTATTAAAAATGAGAATAAAAAGCAATGGAATATTAAATTTTTATAAGCTAATGCATTACATAATATATAGTACTGATGAGAGATGTGCATGGAGGCATTCGCGCCTTAAGCATGCCAGCTGTTTAACTCTATCGTTATGAATTTTTAAAGAAGAATATATATCAAACGCTGAAAATGTAAAAGAATCGGTTTGTTAAATTTCTAAACTAAATCGTAATTAATAATTATCCTGATAACAAATCGATCTAACTTAAAAATTAGCCATACAGGGTATGAATATGATCGCTTGTATTCATGCAATAATTCCTATATCTCCAATATTGATACTTGATGGAGTGTCTGAAGATGTTTGTAGAAGGCATCATATGAAACTTAATGAATTTCATTATGACAAGCATAAACATTTAAATTCACCTTAAATTTAAATTTCACGAATTTAACTACAAAATAAGTTATGATCGAAATGAACATCCTATAAGTGTACATATGCACGGTTACATCTTGCCTTAGTGACTATTCTTGCGTGATATTTTCAACTTTATGTTGTTGTTCTTAGATTAGTGTTGAGAAATGAAGCACTATTTTTAAGAAATATTATAGAACACCAAATATGAACAAAAATTTGGTGAAAAAAATTTTTCAGTTATACTTAAGTACGGCCACTCCATTCCGACTCGTTGTTTAGGTGAGATGTACTACTCAAAATGTTTAGAACAAGGTATTTTCAATTTTTTCTTTCTTTCATGTTGAATATCTAAATAAAATCCAAACAGTAATTTGGAGAGGCAATGAAGTTTTTAAGAAAAACCGAACAGGGTAGATTTCAGATCCCAAAAGACGTTGTAGAAGTCCGTTTTTAAGTGAACCGTCTGAAAGAGTGAAAGATTCTGAATAATATGAGTGGTCACCGTATTTTTGCACTGCATTCCATTAAATAGTTACAAGCATAAGAAAAATAAAAAAAAGATATAATTTTTCAGGGATGTTTCGATAAATTTTGTGATGCTTGTAATTTTATACCTGAAGATGGTAAAAAAAAAAAATGCGACGACCATTCGTATTGTTGAGAATTTTTCGCACTCTTAGATAGTACTGATAAAAATGAACTCCCACAGCGGCTTTTGGAAGCTGAAAAGTACTGAATGTGATTTTTTATAAAACTTTCCATAAAGTCCAACTATGAAATCATGATATAGAATACATCTGATATGTTTTATAATTTTGAGCAGTACTGTATAAGTGTTTTGAAGAAACCTATGCGATAGACATTTCAATCATGATAGCTACGATAATGAATAAAAATCATTAGATATTAAAAATGTTTCCTTTTTTAATCTTGTCATTTTCTAAGTTGACTGATTATTCTAATGGCTGAATAAATACATGATGAATATTATTAGCATACGTGGTAGCAGTAAGTGTCTGGAAAAAAGGAATACATTTTCCTGAATAATAATGGTGTTATTTCTTTTTTAAACAAGTCACAGCGTATAAAAGAAGTTTGATGATTGATTTTTCTTAAATGAATAGAAAAATACTTCTCTACAATCAACTTCAAAATATCAGTTGTAGAATACAATAAAGCAGATATGACTATCTATCATAACAAAAAATCTTGATAACTCAATATAATATTATGTTAAAGTTGATTCAGGTTTTAGCTGCTCATAAATATAACTTGCCTTTATTGACTTATTCGTTTTATGCTATAAACAGATTCTTCATGCGAATGATTTGAGTAGAATTAATTCTGTTATCTATTCTTTAGATTATGCTTGGTTTAGTCACACATGAAATGCATTTTGCACTTTTACGTGAAGAAGTTAAGTATGGTTCAAAGAAAGTATCAAAAATGTAAGAACACTTGTCAAAATTTATTGTTTTCATTTACATTCATTCGTTATTAATTAGTCCTGCGCCTGAAGAAATCACTTGGCAAATACTTCATACATCTTTACTACGTGATTATATCGATCTGGAATTTCGTTCGATAAGAGTAAACAAATTGAAATTTTTCATTTATATTAATAAATTATTTTTATTTTCAGGATAAAATAAAATTTTCATATGATCTTGAAAGTATTGTTGATGATTGGATACTTATGGGTTATTTAGTTGGGAATGATTTTATTCCACATTTGCCACATTTTCATATTAATGAAGAAGCTTTATCAATTCTATGGGATACATATAAAAAAGTTTTACCAACTTTAGATGGTTAGCTAAATTTTAATTTATAAATTTTTAATTTGTTTGTCTTTTGTTTAAGGTTATATGAATGAATTTGGTGATTTAAATTTAGCACGTTTTGAAATTTATCTAACCGAATTAGCTAAATTCGATCATGAACGATATGCTTATGAAAATGATACATTTAAACATTTAGATAAATTAACTGGACGTAACAAAAATTTATCGAAAAATAAATCTGAAGTTAATAAAGATGACGATAATGATGATGGTGTTGGTTTTAATTTTGCATTATTAGACAAATTAACGACTCAAACACCAACAACAATTCAAAAGCAAGATTCTAATAATGATAATCTTGATCAAATTGTTTCTAATGATTCAAAACCAATTGATTTATCTTCATCTTCATCATCATTATCAGATGACGATGATCTGTCATCAGATTCTGATACACTTAGTGAGAAATCAAATGATAATGAGAAATCTTCTTCAACAATCTCTGAAATAACAAATGATGACGATCTTGATAATATGCCATTAATTGAAGCTGAATTTCGTCAACATAAAAATCATTATTATCGAAATAAAATGAAAATTAATTTAACATCATGTGATCAACTTAAAGTGTATGTTGAACAATATATCGTAGCATTACAATGGATATTAAAATATTATTATCAAGGTTGTCCATCATGGTCATGGTTTTATGCAGATCATTATGCACCATATTTATCTGATTTAAAAAATTTCAAGGATTTTAAAATTATATTTGAATTAGGAACACCATTTAAACCATTTGAACAACTTTTAAGTATGTCATTTCAATGTTAACATTTAGATTTAGTTATGCCTTTCCTTGAAAAAAAGTTCGTTTTCGTTCGATTAATCGAAATTAAGAGAAATACACGTGAAGATAGCTTGAATTCGAATGTTTTAGAAATAATATGATTTTTTTATTTAACACTTCATTTTTTTTGAAAAATTTTCGATGATATCGGTCACCTTGTGCTTGAAAAATAGGCTCTTTTGATCGCACAATGCACGTTCTTCATATTATATATTTAATTTTTTGCTTGAAAGAGCATGCGAAGATGGAGAGTCTCACAAAGGCTCTCTCTTTTCGATTAAGCTTTGTTATTAATTATATATTCAAATATTATCTATAAATAGATCACCAAGTTTAGAGAGTTTTTTGAGATATCAAACTTGTTATCATTTTCGTCGGCATGAAACGAATTTCAAACAAAAAATTAAATATATAAAATAAGGCTACACAAAATTTCAGTTTGCCAAATGAGCTATTTTTTTTTACTCTTGTTTGGTAAATATCTTCCTGGAACATTATGATATAGAGCTGAAAATTTTAGATGATTTGGATATACCTGACACGAAATCGGTTATTTTTTTTTGAGGTATGATGAAAGGCCTTAATAAATGAGGTACTAAATAACCCCAGTGCGCTTTTAGAGTATATCAAAATACTAAGATTACGTAGAACTATTGTACATAATGAAACATAAAAAATGGTTAACCTCCAACAAAGTTTCATCTTTAATAAAGATTTTATAGAAAAACAAGACTAATATGATATTTATGATTAATTCCATAGATCTTATGTGATGGAGTATGTCTCATGTAAAACATACGCAAAAACTTGTCCAAGTTTATGATAGATGTTCATTCTCATATATTATCTAGTCAGATAAATGAGAGTTTTATTGAACTTTCAATGTTTGTTAATGCAAATAAATTTCATAATCATTCGAAGTATCAAAACGGAAACATTCTTTGAAGTTCAACTTTGGAGAACTTTCTAATAATCAAAAATACTTTGTCTTATCAAAATTTCAGCAAATAAGACAACATACATGGGCTAATCCTTTTAGGTCGCATGAAATCCTACATCGTTCACAAATTAATATACATTGAATTGAAAGCACCGCTGAGTTTCTGACAACTCACCGTTCTATGAACCAGTTCTTTTTCATATGAACTATGCCTACTGATAATGGAACTGTAGCAATAGAGTGTTCCAATCCGTGGATACGGCCAGGGCGTGGATGTGAAAAGTAACGATTTATGGAGACACCATCTTCATTTTTAGCAGTACAATATACAAAAACTTCGAAAACATGTGCTTTTTATGCTGCTATTAATAGTGATATCCTTGATCACATGATTGGGTAGTCGTTCTGTTAAACCATCGGCTATATGTTAGAGTAATGCAACACATGGGTCGAGTATGAGTACGAAAAGTTGTACTCATGCAGTATTCTATAAAGCAATTCTATTTATTAGTTGTTCCAGTTGTCAAAATAGAAACTATATATAGAAGTGTGTTCTGACACATGTCTAGAACTGGTCTATTTAAACAGTTCAGCTCTTTTTAATACACTTGGTCACCAATTCTAGTTCTGTTAAAAAGCACTGACTAAATTATATCAGTTCAGTTGTTCAATCGTGAACTGTCATAGATCTAAGAAAGGTCTCAATCAGACTATCTCATATATAAAGTTTCAGATGGAATTTTCCAAATATGGTTTTTGGAAAACTGGAGTCCTCTACAGGAGGAACCTACTAGAAAGTTGCTATCTCGATCGAATCTAAACACGAGCAGAAAACCTTTAGAGATTACGCTACACCAGTAATCTTCTATATATCGGCAAAATATGGAGGCAAACGGACCGTATCACGTGTATATATTCTTTCGTCATTGCGAATTGTAGATCAGTGTCAAAAATTACAAAGTTTAGAATTTTGATTTAAATATCTAATTGTCTTACTTTTTTGTGTAGGTGTTCTTCCGCCAACAAGTTGTTCCCTTTTACCAATTTCATTACAACCATTAATGACCAATCCTAACAGTCCAATATCATATTTTTATCCTGAAGATTTTGAATTAGATCAAAATGAAAAAAAACGAGATTGGGAAGCAATTGTATTACTTCCATTTATTGATGAACAACTTCTTTTAAGTACGATAACAAAATATTATGATCAACTTAATAAAAATGAACAAATACTTAATCAACATTTACCATCATTATGTTTTAAAACAACATCGAAATTAAATCCAATAGAAAATTCATTAGGAACAAATCCATATTTTCCAGAATTAAAAGAAACTCGAGCAATATGTCAAGAATTTTCCATTGACTATTATCGTCTTGATAAACCTCATATTAAACATGGTCGTTTTGAACAAAAAGATATGGTTATTTTTCCTAAATTTCCTGTTTTAAATATTTTACCATATAAATATGATTATAAAAATGATGCTGTTAGTATATTTGAGTCACGTTCAAAAGGTGCAACACTTGTATTAAGTTTAACACATAAATCTAATTCAGATTGCATAACATACAATAATGAATGGAATCCAAAAGATGAAAATCCTTCTCCATCATTTCAAATAACGAACTATAAATTATTAATTGAACGTTATTTAGGTAAATGTGTTTTTGTTAATTGGCCACATTTTCATATTGGTATTGTTTGTGCTATTACTGATTTTCAACATTTATATACATGGACAAATATTCCTGGTGGTTCAAATTTTGATTTTGGACTAATAAATAATGAAGAAAATCGAGATCTTAAAAATTATACTCAAATACCAATTTATGTATCTGATTTTCCATTTGAATTACCAAATGATAATCATAGAAGAGCTTCTTATCAAATGTATCAATTAAATAATACTGAAAGACAAATGGAATATAAAAAAGCACTTAATATTAATCGAATATATGAAAATCGACGAGGTATTTCAATTGGACCTATACCAATTTTACTTTATGTAAGTCCATTAATTGGTTATCGAACAAACTGTTCGTCAACATCAGATAAATGTCGAACAATAATGTGTTTTTCAAATCAAGCATCAGCTTTTCCATTGCAAACAACAATTTTTAAATTACCAAATTATAAAGATGATGTTGATCAATTTCCAAAAAAAATACATGATTGTTTTAAAACAAATGATCCTATATTTGCACTTCAAACACCATATTATTCATCGAGAGGTTATGTGCATCAAATAAATACAGATCATTATGGAAATTTTTTTATTTCATGTGAAATGAAATCATCTGATGTAATTGATCATCCTAATATTTATCAATCAAAATCTAAATTTCTGGCACATGAATTAAAATATTTTACAGCACAACAAATAGCTAATCAATTAAATATATTACCATGCATTATATCAAAAATAACTGGAAGAATTAATGTTATTGCTGGCAATAAAGGACGTCGAAGAGCTAATCCAACTAATATTGGACTTTCATGGAAGAATAATAAACCTGTTAAACAAGTAGATAATGTTTCAATTTATAAGAACATCAGTCTCCCATTTCCTACTCCAATTTTTGGATTTTGAAATCGAATTTTTTTCTATTTTTCGGATATATCCGTGCTACAATTATTCATTGTAAGCAAAAGTCTTCTAATGATAATTTCTACAGGTGTTGAGAGCATGAGTCATGGACTTATAACACAGTCAATTTTGCGATCATTTTTCTCCTGAGCTCTACGAACGATATTTTCTAACGAAAAAAACAACACACACTCCCATTCAATTTTTGTTGTTTAAAAAAACTTGTAGTTCGAAAAAATGAAACAGAGTTGTGCGGGAGGAGAAAACTTTTGCCTATTGCCATCTCCATATCTCCTTGAAGGAAGCATCTGTGAATTTTGAGTCTATGACAACTATCGCTCTATTTATTGAGATCAATCAAGTGTTTTCGTTATGATTCTGGATGATTGAATAAAATTTTTTTTTTTTTTTTTTCATAGATAGACTTGATATATGATGTCTCATAATTCAATAATTGTCGAGAATTGAATCGAAGTTGCATGAATTCGAATCATTAGGAGTGCTGTATAATTCCATGAATTGATTTTCAACTTTCATAGAACAAATTCTGTTCAGTCTGATCTTGGCTTTTTGTAGCTGAGAGTTAATATTTAAAATTTATTCCATTGATTTTGTAAAATCAATAATTATTTACTTTTATTGTCTAGCTTCATGGTTATACAAAGAAAATCGACGAAGTATGGTATTATTCGAATGAAGCAATACGTATCATATCTGAATACATGTCTAAGTTAGTCTTTGTTAATCAGAATAATAAAAAAATGAATTATTTCATATATTTTTTAAGATTTCCTGATATTATTACAGAATTAGCACGAAAACCAAACAAGGATAATTATTCAGAATCGAATATTTGGCCAGGAAAAAACGGGTATTTATTTAAAAAGATAAATAAATTTATCTTTATTGATAATTTCAACATTTTGATTATTTTATAGTAAGCATGAATTACAACAAGTTCGTATATGGATTAAAAGTTTACCAACATATTCTATGTCATTGACGGATGCTGCTTGGGAAATACTTGATACACCTGTTGTTAATGAAATAGAAAAATTTGTCAACTCATTTAATGAAGTAAGTTTCATGAGATATCTAATTTGTGTTAGAATATAAATACACTTTCAGAAGTTCATCATCATTTCAAAAATAAGTAATAAAATCACATATAAATGTATTCATTCAAATCAATTGTTATAAAAACTATAAATAGTGACTAATTCACTGTAAATTTTGGAAAAGCATAATCTTTTTTTTTCCTCAATTTATCATTTGATAACTGTCTAGTAAGAAGTTCTTTCAAATAGAGGAAAATAGTCAGAAGTAGCTCCAAGTGCTGCTAAGTTACTTAAATTAATTTAAGTGTAAAAACTTTCTATTTTCTCTAAATAAGGCATGTCAGGTTGTCAAGCTATGTTGACAAGCACATACAGGGAACATTTCGAGCGCTCGACATGTCAAGCAATTTTCATACACATTTGCATACTGAAAACTTCACTTATCGAACTGCTGAAGATAGATAATTGACACTTAAGCATTCATGAGCCAAAAACATTTCTTCTCACGTAATTAGCCTTTTATTTCGGCATCACACCATAGAAATACATAGCACTGCGATTGAAGATAAGCGAATCCATGTTTCTTGGATTCCGTTCTCGGTCTTGATCCCTGTCTAGAGAGAACTATTCCAAAATTTATTCGTGTCATATCTAAAATAGTTCTTCAATATTCATTTTTTTTATTCATTTAGTCAACGGCTAACACTTTTTGAGCCATTTCTATTGAGTTATGTTCTGATTGATACGGTTTATAAAATAATTTGCTTAAAACCACGGAATATTTTACTATAAACTGAAGTTAAGGTTACGGGCAGTCTTTTTCTCATGATCATCCATATCTCTAGCTACAACCTATACTCATCTTCGCGTGCACAGTGTGCCTATCTTTAGTTTACAATTTTGACTTGACTTAGGCGTTTACACAACTCTTAAATTAAAACCAACCGAATAATAAAACTTTTACTCTATCCATCATGTATATCATTAATAAATTCTATATAAAAAAATGCTTCACTATTGGCAAAGAAAGTCATTTCTGAATTGTCACCCTTTATTATAAAGCATATATGAAGAAAACAAAAAATATTTATTATGTTCTAATTACGGTTTGCTTTTGAGTTTTTTTCGAGCTCTGTTTGTATTATAAGTTGAATTCGGCAGCTACTGATAAATATATATTTATTTAAAAAATCTTTCCATTTATTTATAGAAACGTGCAGCAAAACATCCAGTTGAAAAAACAAAACTAGCATCTTTTGAGCCACATTCTTTATTTAAAGCAAACGAATTATTTGGTATGTGTGATCCAGATATCACAACAACTTTTTATCTATTTGATCGCGTTGTTAATGTTCGTCCTGGTACGGGAGTACCTATTGGTACACGTGGCACTGTTATTGGTATTATGCATGGTCGAACACATTTAGATACATATTATGAAATATTATTTGATAATTTATCTTCACATAGTCTTGATGCTATATTACTTGGTAAGAATCAACAAAAATGTCGTATTAAAGTTCGTTCATATCATTTACTTAATTATTCTCATTCACTTCGATTTCGTTCAATAAATTATCAACATCAACAATCTGTACCTTCGGGTAATATAGGAGAACGACGTCCATATAGACAGATACCAACAATTCGACAACAAGAGCCAACGAATAATATAAAAAAAGGTTCAGGTAATGAGAATACAAAACCAAAATCAGCACCACCATTATCCACACATGATAGACCAAATTTTGTTCAAGTCAAAGAACAGAAATCAACTACACATGATCCAACATCTTCGGTATCATCAACAGAACAACCAAGACAATCTTCTAGTTCAATAGAAAATCCTTCTTCAATATCATCGTTGGTCGAAAATTCACCCGATCAAAAACCAAAACTTATACCGATGAATGTTACTGTTCCAACGGAAACACTTGTGACACCTTTTTCTTCAAATTCAACACCAGATTCTTTATTATTTCATGCGATTCAAGATTCCGATCAATTACAAAGTTCTTTTCAACCATCATTTGAAACTATTCCCTCAAACCCATTGCAAACTTCGGATCCACAAATACCTACTCAACAAATATGGGGAGCTATGCCATCTCAATACTTTCAAGGGCCATGTACGTAATTTCCTTCTTCTCTCACTATGAAGATTTTTTCGTTACTTTTTTTGCAGTTATGAATGAACCTATTGGAAATATGCCACAAACATCAATGTATCCATTTGAACAGCAATCGCCAATATATATGCTTCCACAATTTCAACAACCGTTATCTTACCCGTACTTTCAACCTGGTATGGAACAATTCAATCAAATGTATGGTGCTTCGATGGCTCCTGATCAATTCAATCAGAGAGCACCTTTTCCATCATATGATTTGCATCCTCAAGGCGCATATGTTAATTATCCCTCTGGACCTATGGTCACTCCTATGCCTTTTAATTATGGACAACAACAACAACAACAATTACCTATGCAAATGCAAAATCTGACCATGGGTCCAGGTCAATTACCACCAAATTCTCATATGTCATATCAATCTCCAACAATGCAGTTTCAGCAACATACTTCAACTGGTTCGACAAATAATGCTACTCTTCAATTTATTCCATCGCAGGTGCTACGTAAGATACCTAAAAATCACAAGTAAAAAATAAACAAACAAACAAAAGCAAAATTCAACAATACATGTATTTTCCTATTATTTTTTTCTAAACACGTATATTAAAAAAAAAGAATTTTCTGTCCATTCATTTTGTGATCACAGTAGTTGTGGAAGCTGTGTTCTTTTCTATTTTTTCTGTTGTTTGTAATTTTTCATGACAGTGCTCGAAATATTTTCTTTTCTATGTCTTTCAATTTCTTGAAGGATATTATGTTCGAATACTAAATTCTTCTGTTTTGTATTCAGCCTATGTGTGTGTGTAAACCAACAAACAAAAATTAAATAATCAAGCAGCATTTGAATTTTGTGATACAAACGATAATTGTTCTAATTTGTTTACTTTCATTATTAACATTCATATTCTAGATTCAAAAAATGTTATAATTTATATCTTCTTTTTTTTTTGATAGATAAATAGGTTACGATATTAGTTTAAGATAAAATTATAGTTAGTAATAGTTTGGTCATAGGAAGTATAATATTCAGATATTGAAGAATTTGGTTGATGTGAATTGATTCCTTGGAATTTTGTCTACGATTTTCAAACACAACTTATTCTTTCATTTTAAGTTCTATCGAATAAACTCGAAAACAAGAAGTTTTTATTATTCAAAAAATATTTTCTTTTATTAATCCAATCATTCTTCATCTTAGGATATAGATATTTGTTTTTCTGGAATACTAACTAAAAGAAGTCTTGAAGTATAGGGAAGAAAATTTGCTTTTTCCTCCCCCACCCGCACAAATCCTAACAGACGCTAGTCATCGACGATCACAGCAGTAACGGATTTAGACGGGACATTAAGAGCGCTCGTCTCTCTCTCTTCTCAAATACTTTTTAATCTTTCTTAGTGGAGAACACCCAAAAAATAAGTCAAAACGATCTCTAGTGAACTGCAAAACATATTTTATGGCTATGGCAGACACCTTAGCAACACTCCCCCTACATCACAGATCGTGACAGACGTTACTGATGTATGATTAAAGATTGTATATGAGTAATGTCTCTTAATCTACTTCCTTATTGCATTTCGACAGGATTTAATAAAAGGATGTTGAAGAAATGTGTCCTAAAATAGATAGAATAAAGCAATGTCTCTGTTATTAGCAAGAGTAACTGCATCGTCTTTTACATTTTAATCCCACAGGGATTGTACTAACAGCAGTTTAGATAATAATGGACTATGTAGCATGATTAATTAATCATAGTGATTGAACGCACATATTGTCAAAATAGTTTTACTTTACGAAAATCATTATGTCAACCAAAAATCTACCCGTAAACATTATTCTAAATCAATCTTAAAAGAAGAAACTAAATACACTTTGTTAGAATATATATTGGAATGATTCTTTTTAATTGATTAACTTCGAGAACATATGTGTGTATAACTTTTACTTCATTTATTTAATAATTTTTCAGATGACTACTGGTACAACTACATCATCAAACTCATTAATCGATTCACAATTAGATTGTGCACTCGATTTAATGAGACGTTTACCTCCACAACAAGTGGAAAAGAATCTTTCTGATCTAATTGACCTTGTACCTGATTTAACCGAAGAACTTTTAGCAGCTGTTGATCAACCACTTAAAGTTGTTCGTGATCGAACTGTTGGCAAAGATTATTTATTATGTGATTATAATCGTGATGGCGATTCGTATCGATCACCATGGACAAATACATATACACCACTTTTTGATGGTTTGTTTCTTTGATTAAGTATTATTGAACGACAAGCTCTTTTTTTTTTCTTTGAAAGAGACGAGTTAAAAGGATACACTCGAAAATTTAGTCTCTAGTTTTTTCGGCATAAAACATTGTTCGAAATAATTTTGAATTAAGAACATTAATTCATCAGAAATTTTCCACTCGAAATAAAACTTTGACATAGAGAATAAAAATAATTCTCTCTTCAACTTCATATTCTGTCCAAACCATTATTAATCATATAAATTCTTTCCAGATGTTACAAAGCACTCTGATGTTGTCAACGCAAAGTATAACCCTTCAGTATGAATGTACTTTTAAAAAGACAGCTGTCTTCTTCTTCACATGATATTCTTTTAATCAAAACTTCATAATGAGTTAGTGATTTTGTATGATCTCTTAATTTTTAAAGAGTGTTTCAGAAACAATAGGGCTTTCTGTATTTTAATATACCTTGATTTAAACATTATTTTCACACACTTCACTGCGAAATAGTCTATGCTTTGTATTGTTGTAAATAACATTGTTTACTGTTCAGAATACGCTTCAAATGAACAGTCGAAGATAAAAACAACTTTTCTTTTAAGCACATATTTTAGTTATTTAATAAGAGTTTTTTTTGACATAATATTTTTCCAATTAATACATGTAATAAATTCCTTCAAAATTGTAATAGTTCTAGATTTAACTCTGAGCTATTTGATGGCCAACGTGTCTTATTAATGATATAAAAGAAGTTGCTCTGTAATCATTATTACGTGAAGTGATGGATATGAGGATGTTGAACCATCTAAGGAAACACTCCATTTTATACCAGTGGTTGTTTTCTATAAAGAGACGTTGCATTCTACTCAATAAATCCAAAAGATTCTTTCATTAACACTACAATATAAGGATGAAGTTTTCATAAATAAAGATACAGGCATTTCTGTAGGGTATTACCGACTCTCATATCGATCAATTAACGTAAAAATTATGTTAAGGCAGCATTTTTTTCTATCTTCAATATAGTTGTCATCCATAAAACATGACCAGGCAAAGGGAACAGTAAAGATTTCCGGATGCTCAAAAGCGGAAGGGAGCTCAGAATATAAGGTTTTTACCTGGACATTTTTTATGGATGATTTCTAAGGCACATTGACCATCGAATAATTCAGATTTAAACCTTGACCTATCATAGTTTTGAAGAAACTACACTACTTCTATCAATTACAAAAACTATCATAGCAAAAAATACTCTTATTATACAACTAAAGTATGCGCTAAAAAGAAAGTTCTTTTTACTTTCAACTGTTCGTTTAAAGTGTATTCTGAGCAATAATGCTATTTACCTTGATAAAAAATAGCTTATTTTGTAGTGAAGCTTTTAAAGATCAAGTCTGAATTAACGAATATTAAAAGAGATATCAACATACCTAAAGACGCATTGTTTCGAAAGCATTCATTACTTTCTTCTGGGCATGACAGATTATCATTCTATTTTCTAAAATGAGCTATCACATTAATATTAAAAAAAAATGACGATTTATTTAATATTGAAAATGACGACATAAATATTTCTTTTTTGTTTTTTATAGGAAATCTTCCGTCCGATCGACTTCGTCATTTAGAAATCGAAGCAAATCAAGCATTTGAACAATATCGTGAAATGTATTTTGAAGGTGGTGTTTCATCTGTTTATTTTTGGGATCTTGAAAATGGTTTTGCTGGTGTTGTACTTATAAAAAAAGTTGGTGACGGTAGTAAAAAAATTAAAGGTTGCTGGGATTCAATTCATGTTATTGAAGTACAAGAAAAACAAAGTGGTCGAACAGCACATTATAAATTAACATCAACAGTTATGCTTTGGTTACAAACACATAAGACAATGTCAGGTATGATGAATTTAGGTGGAAGTTTAACACGACAACTTGAAGCTGATCATCAAATAACAGATTTTTCTCAACATATAATTAATATTGGAAAAATGGTTGAAGAAATGGAAAATAAAATTCGACAAACACTTAATGCAATTTATTTTGGTAAAACAAAAGATATTTTAAATAGTTTAAGAAATGCAGAAAATTTTCAAAATCGTGCTCGATTACAACAACTTAATTTTACAGGTGAATTACAATCAGCACTTAATCGTACAAGACCAACTGAATAAAAAAAATTTCTTCTCAACATATTTTATTCAATGAAATATTATTTTTTCTCTGGAAGAGAATGGATCAAATATACCTCAATTCATATATAGATCTTTTTTTTTTCTCTTAGACTCGCTTCGTTCATCTAGCAAAGCTTTTTGATTTATGTGTTATTTCTCTTTGTGTATCTGCATACTTCATTATATAACTGAAATAAAACATTTCATTTCTTTTTTTTTTGTAAAAATCTATTTACATCATAAATAAAAATTCTTTTTTTTTTAAGACTTTATTATTCGTTAACGATGCTGAAAAGAACATCAACTCCATCAAAAAATACTTTATGTTCACTTGATTCAATTTTATTACAATCAAAGAAACAATCCATGTGCATACAGACAGAAATAATTGAAAAAGATTCAAAACGTACAAATGCACCGAACTATTTCGATGATATTATTATGCAAGGAAAAAATATGAATGATAGTGAATTTGAAAAATTTGTTAAAAGTAAATAAAATTGAATTCTTGTTTTTTCGACGTCATCGGATAAAAATAATTTCAAATATTAATAGAAAACTATATGCATGTTATCGAGATATGACGTTAATTTTAATTATATAGTGATTGACAGGATAGTCTAGAGAACAACGTACCATAGAATAAAGATGTTAGACAAGTCAATTGATATTTTGCAATTTCATAGTTTTGTATTCACTTTGAAAAGGATTCACATTATGTAGTAGAAATCAGTGATGTGTCCAGACTTTTCTTCCGGAGGGCGGCTTGAAGTTTTGTCAGGACATCTATTTATGGAAATATAAATACATACAAACACCGGAAAGCTTAAATTGATCGTCTGAGCGATACCGCCCCTGCGCCTCTCATATTAAATGAAACACTACAAGGAAGTCGTTTGATTTACGATATTTTCTATGAAATTACAGCGTATGAAAGAACAAATTAGTCAAGTTTTTCTTAGTCAAATCTTTTATTTCGATTGCATAAAAGTTGAAAAATTACTCTGAATGGATTTTGATACTGAAGAAAAAGAATATGAGAACTATGATCATTTTATTGTACTTCAACAAACCTTTATTTTTCAGATTACAAAAGATAAAACTTAATAATGAATTTTCAT